GGGCAGTCACTCCCATCCTGCCCCCTACCAAACACACACACACACACACACACGCGCGCGCGCACACACACACACACACACACAGAGCAAACACTAAGAAAGGGGCTGTGAGCTCTGTTTCCCATGGGTCCAAGGAGTCACCAAGCCCAAGGTGTACGGGTCTGAGACCTAAGCAAACCCGCACCCCATGCCCAGGGAGGCACCAGGATCCCAAAGAGGGATGGCTTCAAGTCCATCCAGGCAGTCAGAGCCAAAACAGCCCAGAGACTACTGTTCTTCCCTCAGACCTAGGACCAGATGGGACGGTGAACCTGTCAGCAGATGCCTCAAGAGGCCCACAGGCCTCCTCCAGCACACCAGGACTATGTCTGCCCTTCTAATTTAGACACCAGTCCAAGGAAAGAGCACAGCATTTTAATGTCTTGGTAAAATAAGAGAGTGAAATTAAATTGTTATAAAAGTGATTTTTCTCAGGGACAGGTTCAGTGACTTACAACCATAAACCTAGCATTTTAGGGAGGCGAGGCGGGTAGATCACTTGAAGTCAGGAGTTTGAGACCAGCCTGGGCAACATAATGAGATCCCTTCTGTACCAAAAATAAAAAATAAAAATGAGCCAGGCATGGGGGTGCACACTTGTGGTTCCAGCTACTTGGAAGGCTGAGGTGGGAGGATCGCTTGATCCCAGGAGGTGGGGCTGCAACAAGCTGTGACTGCACCACTGCACTCCAGCCTGGGTGACAGAGCACAACCCTCTCTCAGAAAAAAAAAAAAAAAAAAAAAAAAAAAAAAAAAAATTATTTTTCTCCCGTACCTAAATCAAGGAACAGAGCCTTCTTTCCAGTATAATAGCTAACATTTACATTCAAGATTTAGTGTGTGCCAAAGGCTGTGTTAAATTCGTAGCATGGATTATCTCATTTAAATCCTCTCAGTCCTATAAGAGAGGCACTAGAAGCCAATTACTATGCAAACAATATGAAAAAGAATTTAAATGTGGCTCGGAGAAATATCTCAGAAAAGCCACTTATCCTGTAAGTGGAACCCACTCGGGGGCTCTGCGCTTTCTGCCAGCAGGGGTCATAATGTCTCCTTTGACCCCACAGTGCAGAGGCCCCACAACCTCAAGTTGCAGAGGCCCCATACCAAGCAAAGGCCACTCCCAGAGTCACCACTGCTAGATGGTCTCTAGGACGCACAACTCACTGTGTAGGAGGACACAGGAGTGTGGGATCCACTTTTAAAGAAACAGGAAAGCAGCTGGCTGTCCTCATGGCCAAGAACCTGGTCTGAACAAATATTCTGAAGAAAGCACTGCGGTAGGAACATGGAAAGCTAGGAAGCAAAACTGCTATGCCCTTGTACCCCCAGAAAAGGGAGGGACAAAGAGACAATCAGAAAAAAATGGAAAGACAATGTAGACAGACACAGGCCTACTAAGGTAAGGGACATTCTCTCCCACCCCGAGATCCACCCCTAGGTTTCCTTGCACTTGATTTTTTTGTTGCCATGGTCAGAATTGCAGGCTGCTAACAAAAGGACTGATCTCAAGAGAGAAATCTAAATGCATGGACTTGGTACCTTTATTCTTTCAAAGAACAAGATGGACGCCATGCTTTCTAATTTTACTACTGTAAGGCTGGGAGGGACAGGCTCTCCCAATACACAGACGGAGCCAGTGTGTAAGGTTCAGGAAGTCTAAATTACTTCAGAGAGAAGCAAAGCCAGGATTCCAGAAGCCAGGAGCAGTGCTGTTCCCAGTTTTGGTCCTAGCTCTCCTTGGTTCCTCAAAGCAGCATTCTTCCTTTCGGGACAGATAATCACCCCATTCTGCACTGAAGCTGTGAAGGCCTCTTCCCTCAGTCACACGGCTCTGACTCCAGTCATCCAGTGTGTTCATCAAATGGAATACCTGCCAGTCCCCACCATTCCTGACAATCGTCAGAGGGAAAGAGCCGCTGGGTGTGGCAGGAGGGGCAAACCGCACACCAGTCAGAATCCATTCCGAAGTCCAGAAATGTCTTTTCCACACCCTGTGTTCCTGGGATGACCAAATCCTGACCAGTGGGCCAAGCAGCCAGCATCCCCTGGGTCTGCCAGCACTGCACATCTGAACGAATGCCTTGGGAGAGAAATGAACACGGCTAGCAAGCCACGAAATCATTTTCCCAATTTGCTGCCCATCGTTCCGGCAATTCCATTTGGCAAATCCACTAAACCTGGCTTGACAGATCATGACCCACCCTGAACCACAGGGATGGTTATTTTCAAGGCTGCATTGTAGTTGGGTAAGGGGGTCGGGGAGGAGGCAGATTATCAAGAAACAGAGAGGCCACTGAAGTTTATCACAAGGCAGATAATCTGCCACAAACGAAGCTACTACTCTGTTCCCTCAGTGGAGGAGAGGTCTAAACGCTGGGGTGGATAGCAGGTTGGCCAGGGATCTGATGCCCCCTTGCCAGAGGTCTGGGAAACCCGAGGAGAGGCAGATGTCCCGAAGATCCAGGAACACCCCAGGACCTTTGAACTCCATGTTTAGAGGGTCCCCATCCCACAGGACAAGCCCAGCGCTAGGCGGCCCACTGGAGGGCGGCAGGGGAGCAAAGGGAGGCCATGGGCAACAAGGAGACAGAGACTGAAGAGCCCCCCAGGTTTGGTGGAAGGAGCCAATAAAGCTGGCTGTAACACACAGGCAGGCACGTGAGAGGGGCCCCAAGAGGATAAGTCTTCCAGCCGGACCCTGGGGATGAGAATTCTAAAAAGCTCAGTTGTGACTTTCAAAAAGTCCCTCTTTGATCCAACACGTTCTTTGCTCAGCCTTCCCCCCTCATTAATACAGCACCTCTGCAGTGCTTGCAGTCACGCTCGACCATTTTGTACCCGCACAGGAATCCACTCGCCAACCCCACTGGATCTGCCTTTAAAATCTATCTGGGTCTGCAGGGGGAAACTAGACAGAAAAACACCAGCATCCCATCGGAAGGTCTCACTTGGAGTAAGGAGAGCCAGGTAGAGTGACAGGCATCTCTGAAATCCCTCTGGGAGATAACCCCGAGACCCAAGTATCGCCACAGTTAGAGGGAGGAAATATTTCTCTCCATAACAAGGACGCACTTACTCACATTTCAAATTTGTCTCTAGGATTAACAGCAATCACTCCAAATACATAGTTGATAATGAGAAAGGATTAATTTAATTGGACATAATTCTGTGCCCTCCAGCATAATTACCTATTTGTAAGGACTACGGTTAAAAGAAACTACAGACTAGAATAATTCATCAACATGTATTTAATTTCATCAGAGAATAAGTTCTTCTACCAAATAGGAAATTTAAACTCTTTGGACTCAACTATCTTGTCTTTTAAGCCTTTTTTTTTTTTCACCTAAAGCAAATGATCATATGCACAGGAGCACGTGGCGCTAAGAGCCAGACCTAAACAAGGGAGTACATTTCCGATTTACTTACTAAGCCCTGTCCTCTTTACTCAAAACTCATTTGACATCCTTTGAATTTTACCTCTATAATAATTAAACATTATTTTAATACGCTAAACCTATTCTAAAAACCATTTTAATCTATTGTTGACCTTTCCCCTAACTTTCTATTCTGTTCATGTGACTTAAATAAGATCTTTTGTTTTAATAACAGGAGGATGTGTTCATATAAAAGATCACGATAATTTCCACTGAGACCAACTAAAAATATCAGAGGAATAAATGTATCATGGTTTCCTATTATCTGAAGCAAACATAAAGGACAAGAAATGTTATAAATGCCAAATAAATTATAATTCTAATTAAATACAATTAAGGCATTCAGCCAGAGGCCAACAGACACAATTCTACTAGTTGAATGTAAGTTAAAAGAAACAGTTTTTAGGGAGATACACCTGGGATTGAAACCGCAACCATCTGGTAACTACGTCTGGACTAAAACCCAACACATGAGGGCATGGCGGCAATGACGTGAGGACTGGGAAATGTAGGTTATTTATTTATTTATTTTTTTTCCTGAAGGCACATGTCTGACTATCCTAGTCACACAGGTCAAACACAACTGCTATCTGGTTCCCGCATCTCCTCGAACCTGCAGGCTGCTGCGATACTACAGTGCAGCTGCCGTTCTGTGAACACGCAGGTTTTGCAATGACTGACCTGCCCGTGCCCAGGAAGTTTTCTACTACGCAGAAAGGAACACCCAGAGAATAGGGTGCCTTTCTAAAAAAGGTGGAAGAACTTCCTCTCACTCCAGACCACGTGGAGGGCTTGAGGAACCCTGACATTTCAGAAAAGGCCACACTGGGTCACAAGGAAGCCCACCTAGGGGAGACTTCCTAGAAGCAATCTTGCAGACCCTGACGAGAGGTGCAGGCGGCGCGTTCAGGGGTCTATGGAAGAGCGGAGGGCTGGGCGCCCTAGGTCAGGGCGACCACCACGCAGGGGTAGCAGCACACTCCCCGGGCCGGCCACCTGCCGCGGGACCACCCTCCGGGCAGCCGGCAGGGTCCCCACCCACGGCTGATGACACATCCTCCGACCTCGTGGCGGGGCGGGGTGCTATGCACCGCGCCATGTAAGGGAAGGTCTCGCCGCCAGCGGGCTCCGGATGCCTCCCGGGCCGGCCCCCTCGCCAGCTGCCCGCCTACCCACCCCGACCACCCCGTGCGTCGCGGAGAGCCGGTCCCCGGACACGAGCGCGGGGCGGGCAACGCCAGGTCACCCACGCTTACTCACTTGGTGTTGCATCATGCACCACGCCGCGGCTTCAGGGAGCCAAAATGGACTCCGTGGAAGAGACAGCTGCATGGGCACCGGCCCCGCGCGCCCACCCCGGGGCCTGCCGGGCTCTGGTCCTGGCCCTGCCCTCCCCGGAGGATGGCAGCGTCCCCGGCGCGGGGGCCCTCGCCACTCCCGTGGCCCCACGCGGCGCCAGGGCCCCCTCCGAGATGACCGGGGCCCAAGGAGCTGCCCCGGCGTTGGCGGGGTCCGGACACTCACCGAGTCGGCGGCGGCGGGACTCGGGCAGGACCGCGGGCGGAGGACGGACGGACGGACGGTCGGACGCGCTCAAGGACCAACGGACGCTCGGCCGCAGAGACGGGGCGGGGCGGGGACGCGGCGCGCGGGGAGCGGAGTGGAGGCTGCGGTGAGCGGGAGCCGGCGGCCGCGTGCGCGTCTGCCAGGGAGCTGACTCGCGGCTCACACCTGCCCGAGCGGACTCAATGGGCGCCCAGAGCGGGCGGGATCCGGCGCCAGGTTTCATCAGCCAGGCGCCCGGCCCCGGGCCAGGCAGCCCCGGCCCCGCTCGGCCGCGTCACAGCCGGGAACCAATGGGAACGCGGCGCGGCGGCGGCTGCCAGCCCAGAGGCAGCGGCCCGGACCGACGCGCCTTTGGTGGGCGGGACCTCTGAGTCTTCGCGCGCTCGGCTCCCCACGCTGCGGTTCCCGGGGCTGGCTGGCGGGCGGCGCCTCGGCTCGCTTTGGCAGTCGCCCCGCCGGCGTTTGGCCGTTTCTCCGCCAATCCGAGCCCACCGCACCACAGCAGCCCTGCAGCTCTCCCAGCGCCCGGGCCAGAACTGGTGCCGCAGGCCCTGCCGTGCCAACTCTGTCCCTGCGGGCCCCAGCGAGCTCACACGGAGCTCGAGAAGATTTAGTATGCACTTAACGGGTTTAAATTTAAATTTTCTTTTTAGAGACAGGATCTTGCTTTGTTGCCCAGACTGGAGCGCAGTTCACTGCAACCTGGAAATCCTGGCCTCGAGCGATCCTCCTGCCTGGGCCTCCTTCAGGATTACAGGCCTGAAACACTGCACCGGCCTAAAAATTATTGTAAATCTTCATGTCTTTGTTATTGGATTCTTTTATTGCTATTCCCTTGCCCTTGCTAATACCTTATCCTTGCCAGTTGTCAGAAGAGCCCCAAAGCCTGAATCTACCTGTGCCCCCTGGCAGTGGCAAATGCACAAACGGAGACTCAAAGCGGCTTACTTTTGCAGTTACCTCCAGGAGGTGGCAGAAACTTCAGTCCTGAATCACACCGTGCTCACCTCTTTGTCTCCCTTTGCACCGAAAACCAAGCAAGAGTCATAATCTTTAAAGATCCAGTGATCTGGGACTTGGGATAGGTAAGCGGGGCATAAATTAATACTGCCATCCTTCCTCCATCCTGTAGTAAAACAGAAAAGTTGTGGACGGTGTCCATGGCCTTCGAATCCTCTCTACAGGTCCTTCTCAAATGTTAGCTGCTGGATGTTACACTCCCTTGGAACTAGACCAGCAATTTATAAAGTATATAATTGCATGGTGCTAGCGTCAGAAAAAGTGTTTTGTTGTTGTTGTTGCTGTTGTTGTGTGTTTGTTTTTTAGAGACAGGAGTCTCATTCCGTCACCCAGGCGGGAATGCAGTGGCGCAATCATAGCTCACTGTCACCTCATATTCCCAGACTCAAGCGATCTTCCGCCTCAGCCTCCCAAGTAGATGGAACTACAGGCTTGTGTCATCACACCTAGTGTCATACACACACATACACACACACACACACACATATATATATATAGAGAGAGAGAGAGAGAGAGTAGTAACTGCTATGTTGCATAGGCGGGCCTCAAATACCAGCTCTCTAGCTATCACTTTGCCTCAACCCCCCCTAGCAGCTGGGACTACAGGGATATGCCACTCTACCTAACCCTAGAAAAATTTTAATGAGCACATTCAGATGGCTTAGCAATTGTAAAATACATAGTTGTTTTTGCTTGTTTGTTTGTTGTCTTTAGCGACTGGGTCTCAATCTGTCACCAGGTTGGAGTGCAGTGGCAATATCATAGCTCACTGTAGCCTTGAACTCCTAGGATCAAGCGATCCCGTCCCTCACTTTAGCCTCCCCAGTAGCTGGAAATAAGGTGAGCACCACCCTGCCCAGCTTCCTAATGTGCTTTGAACAGTGCTTTACATCATAATAAGCCACCATATATGCTTTGTTTTAAAACAAGAAATGTGGCTGTGTGCGGTTCCTCACGCCTGTAATGCCAGCACTTTGGGAGGCCAAGGCAGGCGGATCACAAGATCAACAGATCGAGACCATCCTGGCCAACATGGTGAAACCCTATCTCTATTAAAAATACAAAAATTAGCTGGGCATGGTGGCATGAACCTGTATTCCCATCTACTCGGGAGGCTGAGGCAGGAGAATTGCTTGAATCCAGGAGGCAGAGTTTGCAGTGAGCTGAGATTGTGCCACTGCACTCCAGCCTGGTGACTCTGTCTCAATAAATAAATAAATAAAACAAATCTTAGTTCAGTTGCACAGTGGTGAAATGGTGCCCTTCACTCACAGAAGGTGATCTCCCATATCCCACACAGCCTACTCTCCCTGTGAGGCTACAGTAAGCATGTCAGCTTCTCACAGAGAGAAGCCTGGTGGGTTTAAAGACCACCTGCTTTGCCCTTGGCACCACATCAGGATTTGAATCTGAACTCTACCAGTTCATTTGCTGTGAGAGCTTCTGCAAACTGTTTCACCTCTGTTTGGAGCTTTTAAATCTTATATTCCTACCAAAAAAAAAAAAAAACCTAGCCCTTGGTATTTGAAATATGATTGTGGAATTTTCTCTTTCTGTCTATCTGTCTTTCTTTTCCCCTTTGCTGACTTCTGGCAGTAAAACAGAATTTTGTAGATTGTAGAGATGCTCTCCTTGGCAACACAGAGTGCCAACATGAAGTTAATGTTTGTAAATTCTGAGAGCAAGTGCTCCAGGCCCTGATGGGAGTATGGGTGAAATTTAACCCAGGAGAATTTTAGCACTGGGCTCAGTTTAGCAATCCCACTCAGCAAGGTCCTGTTTTCAAAAAGACCACAAGACAAGGCCCATGAGCAAGTGACTTCTCAGCAAAAAGGATTCAGTGTGAACCATGGAAAAAATAGTTATGCATAAAATTTCAGCAAAAAAATTAGAGGATGCTGATGAAATGGGCTGAATGTTTTAAGCAAAGCCAGTTTTTAGGCAGGTCAGGACTCACGTTACAGGTTCAGTGGAACCATGAGTGACAGGCAGGCTTCATTACAATCAAAGAGCAGCTGGTCAAGAGTCCAGTGACCATTAAGAAGAGGAGATGCTAGAATTTAGGCCCTACAGAGCAACGTTTAAGGTTAAAGTTGACACACTAAATCCCTTTCTAGGACCATTAGGCACCATGGGGGTACAGAAAGTGCAGAGGATCAGAGCCAGACAAACGTGGGTTTCAATTCTAACTGTACTTCCTACAAACTGCTGGCCTGGGGAGAGTGTGGGCTTGTCTACTCTGTTCCTCAGTTTCCTCATTTTCAAAATAAGATTTTTACTACCTGTTGGATACATACAAACTTTATGGAAAGGATGAAAACTACGTATAAAGATGTAAAGAATACAGAGCTCAGAAATAGACTTAGTTTGTTTTGTGTTGCTAGAAAGGAATACTTGAGTCTGGGTAATTTATATAGAAAAAAAGGTTTATTTGGCTCACAATTATAATGGCTGCAAAGTTCAAGATTGGGTATCTGCACGTGGAGAGGGCCTTGGGCTTCTTCCACTCGTGGTGGAAGATGAAAGGAAGTATGAGTGTGTGCAGAGATCATATGGCAAGAGTGTAGGCAAGAGGGAGAGGGGAGAAGTGCCAGGCTCTTTTAAATAACCAGCTGTGGAGGGACCTAATAGAGCGAAAATTCATCTCCCCATCCCACCTACCCCCAGGAAGGGCATTTCATGAAGGATCCACCCCCATGACCAAATAACTCCCATTAGGTTCCACCTTCAACATTGGGGATCAAAGTTCAACATGATATTTGAAGGACACAAACATCAAAACTATAGCATAGACCCACACAAATAGCTGATCTTTGACAAAGTGGCTAAGACAAGTCAATAGAAGATAGTCTCCTCAACAAATCGTCCTGGAACAACTGGACAGCCACATGCAAAAAGTGAATCTACGCAGACTTTAACATCTCACACAACAATTAACTCAAATCAGATCATAGGCCTAAGTGTAAAACACAAAGCTATAAAATGCTTAGAAGACAACATAGGAGAAAATCTAGCAATGGCTTTTTAGATACATCACCAAAAGCATTATCTATGAAAGAAATGATTGATGTTGGCCTTCATTAAAATTAAAACCTTCTGCTCTGCAAAAACAATGCTGAGAGAATGAAAAGACAAGCCACAGGCTGGGAGAAAATCTTTGCAAAATACATATCTGATAAAGGACTGGTATCCAAAGTGCACAAAGGACTCTTAAAACTGAATAATAAGAAAACACCTCAATTTAAAAATAGGTCTGGGCGCAGTGGCTCATGCCTGTAATCCTAACACTTCGGGAGGCAGATGTGGGTGGATCACCGGAAGTCGGGAGTTTGAGATCAGCCTGGCCAACATGGTGAAACCCCATCTCTACTAAAAATACCAAAATTAACTGGGCATGATGGTGGGCACCTATAATCTCAGCTACTCGGGAGACTGATGCAGGAGATTTGCTTGAACTGGGAGGTGGAGGTTGCAGTGAGCCGAGATCACACCATTGCACTCCAGCCTGGGTAACAAGAATAGAATGCTGTCTCAAAAATGAATAAATGAATAAATAAAATAAAAATAGTCAAAAGATCTGAATAGGTGCTTCACCAAAGACAATACACATATAACACATAAAAATATGGAAAAATATTTAACATCATAAGCTGTTGGAGAAATTGCAGATTAAAGCAATGAGATACTACTACATTTTAGCTACTAAATAGCTAAAATCCAAAATACTGACAGCACCAAATGCGGGTGAGGATGTGAAGCAACAGAAACTCTCATTCATTACCAGTGAGGATGTGAAACAGTACAGCCACTTTGGAAGACAATGTTTTTTACAAAATTAAACATAGCTTCACCATACTATCCAGAAGTCAAGCTCCTGGGTATTTACCCAAATGAGTTGAAAATGTATATCCACACAAAAACCTGTGCAGCAATATTTATAGCAGTTTTGTTCCTAATTACCAAAACTTGGAAGCAAACAAAATGTCCTTCAATAGGTAAATGAACAAACTGTGGTATATCCATATAATGTATTGAGCCAGGAAAGGGCATGGAGAAAACACACATGGTCCTAAGATAAATGAGTCAATCTGAAAAAGCTATGTGCTATAGGATTTCAACTATATGATGTTCTAGAAAAGGCAAAACTGTGGCGACAATAAAAAGATCAGTAATTGCTAGGGGCTTGTGAGGGGAAGGGTAAATAGGTAAAGTACAGGGGATTTTTCGGGCAGTATAACTTCTGTATGATACTGTAATGATGGATACATGTCATCCAGCATTTGTCAAAATCCATAGCACATACA